CCACCTACAAATCGTAACTCACCGAGCACTCGCAAGTGACAACCAATGTGCATATACACTAGGATAAATATTCATCAAGTGGCGGCTTTCAGTTTATGCCGAATGCAGCGTTCCAGTTGACAATTCTTTCTTTATTGTATCTTTAGATTCTAGGTCTTTTTTGGAACTAGGGGAGCAAGAAACGAATGGAATGGATCTAATTTTTTGGCACCGCAAAAAAAAACAAAAAAACGAGTTTAACAAAATAAGGGTAATATTTCGAAAACAATGATGAAACTTAACAGTTTTCTGCATTTTTCGTATTGAAATTTTGTTTGTATCAGTATCATTACGAGCAAATTTTTACTTATATTAACTGAAATAAACAGGATTTGGTAATTAACGGCAGGCTGATGGAGATTTAGAATGCATGAAATTTTCACGGAAATCATTCAATTGCCTAAACGATATAACATTTCTATTAGCAGTATTTAACAACAAAACCAATTAATGACAAAATAATGATAGTAAGCTTAACAAATCTTCAAAACTACTCTAAGAGAAGAAACGGAAGTGGAGAGAGGGAGAGGGAGAGAGACAACGGAAAGGGAGAGAGACAACGGAAAGGGAGAAAGATAACGGAAAGGGAGAAAGATAACGGAAAGGAACAGAAAAACGAGGGGAGAATCCAGAACAAGCCATAAGTGCAAGCAGCCACTCCAGTAGCGACACAGAATGGCGGCAAGGGGGCGGAGGGCGGCAAACAGGGCGTCCCGGTACCTCCCTGGAAGCGCGACCTTCACGGAAGCGGATCCTGGGACGCGAAGGTCGCGGGCGGGGCGAGCAAGTCTCGTCGCACGCGATGCTCTTCCCGGAACCATATCGCCCGCCCGCCAAACACTGTGCTCCAGTAAACGGCCGCTCCGCGACGCGCCGCCTGGGCTTCGCGTCGCTAATGAGTCGCCAGTGAGGAGCGAGGCGGTGTCGCCTCTTTTTGTCGCTGTACATATTTGGCCCCGCGCGCGCCTAACCGCCCGCCCTTGGTGTCCCTCCCGGACGCCCTCCATGGACCGGCGTAAAGCGGCGTGGGACTGTTTGCGACCACTTTTGTCGGCCGGACCACTGAGGCCTCATTGTGGCCGGTGTGTGCTTGTTCACCGGGGAGGGGCGGGCGCTGCACTTGGGTGTGCGGTCACACGGGTCGGGAAGGGCTTCGATGCAATTCACACGTCGCTCCTGGTAAGTACGTGACCTGTAAAGTGGGCGAGATACTTTCAGATTGTTCTTTAATACCAGGGGATTTCAAATTTCGCTGGTGTACGCTAATGTATACGTACTATAAGAAATATAGTGATTTCTTCAAGAACTGCCTAATGTGGCATCATGTAAATTATACGTTCAGTTTCCCTCATACCTAAGCCCTCGTGGTTTTTACTCGAACATGAAACAATATAGAAGGCTCTAGATCAGGAGTGTGCAACTTGCGAGGCCTCAAGGACCACAACGGAAACCTTTCATATGGTTGCGGGACATAGTTTCATAAATTGTGTAGGGGAATGGAGTCATGCGTGATATCAGACCGTACCATACATAACAGATTGGGATTATTTTGAATTTCTGAATTTGCTAGAAAAAGTCGTTAGTACTAAACTTAACCTATTTTTACATTAAGGGAATGTTCACCCCGAGAGCACGCTTGCGCTAGGCGCATAATGTTCTCGCCCGACAGGGATGAAAGGGGCTTTTTTTTTTT